AAGATAAATCAGGATACCTGTTTGCCAAGAGGCCCCCAAAGAGAGGCCACGTCATTGAACAGGAGTAGTCAGACTCATCTCAAGAGCTCCTTGCTTAGGGCTGGCCCGTGGCTCACTTGGGAGAGCGTGGTGCTGGTAACACCAAGGCCACGGTTAGGATCCCTATATAGGGACGGCCAGTTAGCTCACTTGGGAGAGCGTGGTGCTGACAACACCAAGTCAAGGGTTAAGATCCCCTTACCGGTCATCTTAAAAAAAAAAAAAAAAGCCCCTTGCTTGTGCTACGTGAAGAGGTGGCATCATCCAGCTTGTGGTGAATCATGGTAATAGGCACTACTGACTTATGATATTGAATTCCCAGCATCTTGATCATTCTTTCCATTTGTAATGGGGCTTGGAGTAAGTTTTGGTGAGGACTCACTGCGTGTTCAACAAATTTATTTTAACACCTCATGCTTATAACCAAATTATCTGTGAACCGCATCTCGGTCTCATAAGTGACTACACTGGTTTTTGAGAGAAGGTTTCCATTGCTGGGAAGTCTCATTCAGTGGTCTCAGTGCACTACATTTCAGTGAACTGCAATCTGGCTTCCTCCCATAGGGAATCCTCTGTGAATGCTCTTGGCTGAGCCACCAGTGACCTTCCTTGAGATGCAGAATTCAGTCCTTTTCATGCTTGAACTTCTGAACTATCAGCTGCTTCTCTCTACACCATGCTTTTCTCTTCACTTCCATGAAACTGCACACTCCTGGTTTTCTTCTACCTCTCTGGTCATGCCTGAGGCTCTTCCCAGGCTTTTTCTCCTCTGCCAGTCGCTTACATCATGGCGAGCCTCACCACGTCCCCCTCTGTCACCCTCTCTTCACATTCTGCTTCTACACAACTCTATCAGCACGATCTCACTTACTCTCATGGCTTCAAATTGTTGCCTGTTTTCAATGACGTTGTTGCACTGGACAAGAATGAGACACTTCAAATAGAAGCCCTAGTCTTGGTCTCAAGGGGCCCTTTCCTAAGCCCACACCCCAGGCTTACCATTTGGCCTCACAGGAGGGCTTCGAACCAAAGGGCTGGTCGACAAGCTGGTTAGTACCATTGCTGCTGTCACCTTGTCCATGTCCAGTTCCTCTGAAGATTTCCTGTAAAACAGGGAGGGACATTGTTAACCGTGCTCACTCTGTTTCTTCTGTGGACCAAACAAGGCCCACGCACGTTTACTTCTTTAACTTATCCACACGGAAATCCAATGTGCTGTTAGCTTTGTTTTATAGGTGAAGAAGTTGAAGTCGAAGTGGTTAAGCGATTCAAAGCCATACAGTATCAGGAAGAGAAGGATTCCTTCATTCATCATTCCACTAACGACTGTTTATTGAGGGTGTGCTCATGGGCTGGACCCAGTTCGAGGCTGGAGTGATACGTGGAGAACAGCAGACAAGGTTCTTGCCTTCAAGGAGCTTATAGGCTTGTGGGAAGAAATGCAATGATCAGTAAACAAACCAACAAACCAAAAGAAACAAAGTCATTTCTGATAGTGACAGGTGCTATGAACAGCATAAACAGGTTGACATGACAGTGACTGTGATGGCTGCACTTAGGTGGTCAGGGAATGCTTCTCAGTGGAGGTGATGTTTGAGGTGAAGTGTGAAGGTGGGGAAGAGTCGGTCCCCAGGGGGCAGGGAAGTGCGACCAAGCAGAAGCAGCAGCCGTGTGAAGGCAACAGGAGTGTGTGTGGGTGTCTGATGGTCGACGGAACAGTGTGAGACGGGGAGGGTGGTGCAGAGCTGGTCACATGGGGTCCTGTGGCCATGGAAGCTGCTGCGATTTTATTCTAAGTGGAATGAGAAGTCACTGCAAGGCTTTAAGCAGGCCTAATGATATCACATGATTAATACTTATAAAATAATTACCTGAGCTGCTATATGGAGAATGGATTTTAGGGAAGGCAGAATAGAAGCAGGGAGGCCAGTTAGAAGATGATGCTAGGAGTCCAGACGAGAGGAAACGGTGGCTTGGACTAGGGTGGGGGCAGTGGCAGGTGACCTTGCTGGGACTGGGAGAGGAGCAAAAGGGAACGATCCAGGATGGTGCTCCAGTGTTGGCTGGAGCATGAACTAGAGCCATTTACTGAGGTGGGAGAGACGAGAAATGCAATTAGGCATGTTTAAACTCTAGTGTTGTTTTTGTTTTTTAAATTCCACCCTACTAGAGGAAGAATAGGTCATAGGAATAGTTACACGTTGTTAAAGTGAAGAGCCACTGGCAGTCACACATTGAGATGAAGAGGTTGCTCTGGTTCATTAATTTTGGCCTGTTAACTCTGAATCAAGTCTCATAAGATAATGACCATGGGGACTGGAGTCAGCTTATTTAAGCTTATTTCAATAAAGAAGTTAAAATTGAGAGGCAAAAATTTATGTAGTACATTGACATCAAATAAATTGTACCACCTCCCGAGAGATGAACATTTTCAAATTAGGGAACAACTGGAGAAGCACAACAGAGGATTAATAAGCCATATCTACAAATGAATTGTCACTTTGACAAATGTGGCTTCCATTCACAGGTGTGCTGTATAATTTGTAAAAGCAATGAACTCTCAGAGATAGAAACTTCAGAGCATTGCTTCACAACAGTGGGAAAAAATTCTTACACTGGAGAAAAATCAAGTGGTTCCCAATTTGGGGGGACTGCTCTATTAATTTCATCATGAACTTACAAAAATGGTTATAGTTTGGCTCTCCTATGTCCACCACGATACTAAATTATTAAGCAAAGCTTACTCTTTCAATCCAAGTTACCAAAAAAATGAGAATCTTTGAAAAAATCTTTTATAATTCTTCTCAAAGCACCCTATGCTTTCTCAGCAAAATGTTCCATCAAAAGACAATTGACTGGCAATTAAAACTGCTTCTGTACAGCAAGCTTGAGAGTGCACGACAAAACTTATTCCACAGAAGTTTTCAAGACAATTTCACACACGTAGAGAAGGAAACTGCTCATTCATTTGGCACACCACTCAAAGATTTCACACTATTCCAATTTACAAGATCCCCATACTTGGTAATAAAGGTGATGCCAGTTTCTTACAGAAATAAAGCCTCTTGAAACAGCACCAGGGGGAGAATATAAAGCACCTTCAAGGTAATTTTGAGTGTTTTGTTGGCTCAATCTCCACATGCAGTCATGGTCACAGGGGGAAGGAATGTGCTGGAGCCTTTGAAGGAGAAAGACTTGCTAGATAGGCCGCTACTTTGCTCCACCTGTCTGCCCTCCCCAGACCCGGCCGCCAGGATCACGCCAGTGAAGAGGCACACCCGAACAGACCACTTCTGTCCCCTCTTCCAAGCCCGAGTTATAGGAGCGGCTGACTTCTTTCCAAATGTCAGTCTTCTCTTTTTACCTTACTAACAAAAGGTTTAAGAACAAAGGTAAGAGGCAGTGCACCTGGCACAGAAGAATGACATGACTTTGGAAGAAGTTCCCCTTACCCCCTCCCCGATTCCTAAAGGGACTTGCTATACGGCAATGCCCCTTTTCCTCTTCTACATCTTGGTTTCAGAGACATTTTTCCCCCGCCTCGCTCAATCTGCTTTGTGTCTTTTTTCGAATTTCCACACCTAAGGTGAACATTCTGTTTTAGAGGTCTAATTGATAATTAACTCAAAAGCTGGTTTATGTATTTTTGAATATGAAGATCAATAGAGAATGCATCATTATAAAAAATGTATTTATTTTGCATTGCCAAAAATCTGCATTTCAAAATAATTATTGAGCATCAGGAAGCAGATTTCCAATGAAGAATTGTAAAGAGGAACAAATGTTAGTGTAATCAGAGTGTTTTTGTATTTGGATTACCTTTAAGTTTTCTACTGACATTGGAGGTCACTGACAACAACAAAAAATCAAAGGAATACATTGCTATTAATGACCCAGTTAACCTATATTACTCAGACAGTATTTTAATCATGCTACATGAAATGTTACCAGATGATATGGCTTTGTGCTGAGTTGTGTTTTTGTTTTTATCTTTGTTTAATTTCTTTTGGTACAGTACTATCTAATTACTGATTAATTGGTGCTGCAAATTCAAATCCTTATAATTAGCCATGAAGCGATGATATACAAAGTAGAATTTGTTACACTTTGAGAAAACTGTGCAGAGGCCTTCTGCTAGATTTAGAGTTGTGGAGGAAAGAAAACCACTAGGAGTGATATTAAATATTCCCTCCTAATTTGAAACAATTTGAATTTACTTTTGAAAACCTTACCAATCACATGTTTACTAAAGGCTGAGACCTTTTCAATTAATCTTTCCTCCAGATTTACTTGAGCATTATGGAACCTAACAATACTTGGAATTATTATTAAAATAATAGTAACATTCATTGTCACTCTGTCTACATGATTTATACCTCAAGTTGACCTGGCTTCCGTGGATGAATAGGATTTCAGTATGGGAGAATCACACAAAGGAAGGGAAGCAGGCAAGTCTTTGGCTTGCTAGGAAACTGCTTAGGAGTCCTTCATGAAGGATATGGTGGGACAGAGCCTGTGCCAGATCATGGGGCTGCGTGTGCCAGGCAGGCTGAGTGGTTTGTCATATTCTTGTAAGCAAAGAGGAGCCATTGAACATTCATGAATCTGGGAGAGAGATGATCAGTTTGTATTTTAGAAATGTGTCAAAATGGAAAATGTAATGGAAAGGAAAGAAACTAAAGAAAGGCTATTCAACTATTTTTAGTTGTGTAAAGTCTCAATTCAAACTTGAAGTACTGGACTAAGAGAGACAGCTGTCCCTCTCTGAACAGATACTATTCAGTCTATGGGTGGACTGATTTCTGCTAAATATGTGTTCTGGACCTCTCTAGGAGAGACAGTAAAGATAACGGTTAAGAGTGCAGGCTCTGCAATGAGTTAGATAACGTGGCTTCACGTCCACTCTGCATTACAGCCTGTGTGACCTTGGGTAAATTACTTAAGCTCTCTGGGTCTCTCTTAAACTCTCTGGTTTCTCATCTGTATAAGGAGGATAAATATAGATTTGCTGAGAGGATTAGATGAGAAAACATACATGAGCACCAGCATGAGCCGTGCACACAGAGTTCCATGGATGTCAGCTCTTATTAACCTCCAAATTCATGAGCACGCCCTGCATATATCCCTGCTGAGAGAGGAAGGTATCAGGCCACATCACTTGCTCTTGCTCTTATTCAGCACCAGCCCTAGCAGTTGTCGCTTTTCTTTTTCTTGGGAGTTGGGGGACGGGGGTAGGGGAGGGAATGTAATTTTTAATAATGAACAAAACCGTTATAACTTCATAAGTATTACTCTGTAAGAGGTGGCAACTGGCACAAGGAGGACAGCTGCTGGGTCCCCCACTAGAGCTCCCAGTCAGTGCTTTGGCAAAGCTACAGCTCATTACATGGAGTCTCGGCCAGACTGTCTACAAATAGCCAAAGCTTGGGGTGGCTGTTTGGATTTTACAGTTAAGGGTTTATGTTTTCAATACTCACTCTTGGAGCACTTACTATGTGCTAGGGGCTGCGCTAGATGCGAGAGTTAGTTTCGATAAACATGAACAGAGTTTATGAGCTCCAGTCTAGTGGAGAACCAGACCTTAATCAATCAAACACACACACAAATAAACGTAAATGTACACATGTGAGAGATGCCAGGAAGGGGCAGTATGGATTTGATGAGGACCCACTTAGGTCTCTCGCTTTACAGGGGAATNCTCTGCAATGAGTTAGATAACGTGGCTTCACGTCCACTCTGCATTACAGCCTGTGTGACCTTGGGTAAATTACTTAAGCTCTCTGGGTCTCTCTTAAACTCTCTGGTTTCTCATCTGTATAAGGAGGATAAATATAGATTTGCTGAGAGGATTAGATGAGAAAACATACATGAGCACCAGCATGAGCCGTGCACACAGAGTTCCATGGATGTCAGCTCTTATTAACCTCCAAATTCATGAGCACGCCCTGCATATATCCCTGCTGAGAGAGGAAGGTATCAGGCCACATCACTTGCTCTTGCTCTTATTCAGCACCAGCCCTAGCAGTTGTCGCTTTTCTTTTTCTTGGGAGTTGGGGGACGGGGGTAGGGGAGGGAATGTAATTTTTAATAATGAACAAAACCG